TGGAAGCCAGTGCACTGCCAGCTCTTCTTCTCTCAACACGTTCGGGCAAATATGCCAAAGTCTTTCCCACAAGACCCTGGCAAACCACACCCATTATTAGCAACTCCAGCTCCTTCTCCGGTCCAGGACAAACCAACCAGCCAACTAAGTAGAGGATCTGGACCTTCTGTTATTTTCCTTTACTTCTCTTTCCAATAAACCAGGAACAGCCTCTGTTCCTCATCTCTAAGCTCTGAGGCATATACGGACTAAAAGCTTGGCCTCTCCCCCAACCCCATCTCTGCTCTTGCAGCTCACCTGCCGGCCGACACGGTTGTTATGCAGCCTCATGCGGGAGTGGATGTCTCGGTAGGTCTCTCGGGAATCTAAGAAGTCCTTGGAAAACTTCTCCCCATAGTCCACATCAGGGCTGCAGCCCCCCCACTCCCAGGAGTCCTGCAGGCCGGGGGCCTCGGCTGGCATGTGCTCCAGGTGCACACCATGCATCATTCCCTTGCCCCGGTTCATGGCCTCCAGCTGCAGCCGGTGCAGCTTGATGCGGAAGGCTTCTTCGTCCCCTCGGCGCTTCTGGTCACATCCACATGCCTGCAGCTTGCCCAGGGAGCAAGCGTTGGAGACAGCGTGCACCACCCCTGCTGCTGCGATGGCATAGGCGAAAGCACTTTCCCGGAAACCTGCAAGAAAGAACATATGGCTAATTCCAATCAGTCAGACCAAGAGTCCCGCCTCACCAGGCATCCTGGCTTCAGCTACAGATACTGCAAAGGAAGCACATAAGCACAAAGGGCAAAAAGACATCGGTCCTCCAGCACCTGTCACTCACGATCTCATGAAGAGGGCTCTGTTGTCAAAAGAAATAACTTTTAACAGTATAGGACAAGAATCAGCAATGCATTTTTAATAATCAGAATATATTATTGCCCACCAGCTGGCGGTGTGACAATGGATTAGATCCAACCAGTTTTTTCATTCAATCTTGCCCAATTCCCTTCCCTACTACAGCCCACCACCCCAGATGGCTTTTGGACATACTCAGCATAGCCCTTCTTTTTGTGCT